GTGTCCCGCACCGTCGGCCGTGACACGCCTTATTTGGCCTTTCATGGCCGACGCATCATGTCGAATCGGCCATGCGTCGGGTCGGGCAGTCGGGCCAAATAAATCACTCTGATTGGCTGTTCAGCTAGCGAATCAGTGCATGAGAAGCGAAACGGAAGTGAGGGACGTAAACAAACGCTTTAAGAAGGCATGAAGAATGTCTTCCGCAAGCAACACTCCAATGGCTGATAGCTCCATTACCGAATGAGACATGTTTTCGATGGACGAGAGTGAAAGTGGAACGCACACGGTAGTTGTTGTTTGTTTATATCACGGAGTCTGTTCTTCTTCTGTCTTCCGGTTGTTGCCTCTTTTGAATGACGAATACACACTACCGCCGCCTGCTGGTAAGGAGAGTTATTGCCACTCACGCATGCCAGTTCGTACGTGCTACTTGGCCGTCGGCTAAAGTCTTTGCGGTGTGTTCGAGTGCGACTGTTGGCCAAGAAGCGGGAGACGTGAGGCGACACAACAGTCGTGTTCCGTCGGGACGTGTTCTTTGGTGTCAGTTTGGTGTGTCAGGGCCTTAAGGCGTGATAGGAAATGTATTTGGGGCGCAGTAAACTCACAATTGAGACATCCAGGACGCACCTTATTTTCTCACTTATACCGATGTAGAATAGCTATTAGAAATGTAGCTATAACCCTTTAAATGATCTTACAAAAAACAGCATCCTAACAGTGATCAAGGAGTGAATGGTCTCCTTTTTTCACCATGGCACAAATCGGTATCAAACGTTGTTGACCGTCACTGGAATCTGTATTGACTATTAACATCCCTACCTTACTATGTTCTTAAAATAAATGAGTTGTATTTTGAACCCACGTTTTAAAATCCGGACTAATAAGCTGTTGCAATGATTGAAATACTTATATTTGTAGGAGGACTATCTATATTTAGTGGTCCCAATAATCCCTCTGACACAGATTTGTAGTGCAATGGTTTTCGCCTTGACGTTTGAGTAGGATTATCCACAGAACACATTAGTCTTGAGTGACTCACATTTTTTCAATGAGCTGCTTCTCATCAAGTGCGTTCGGCAGGTCTCGTTTGTTGCCCAGTACTAGAATCTGAAAGAGGAAGAGAACAAGAGAGAAAGGGCTGATCAATATCCAGCACAGCTATGAATCAGCATTATCTCAGTGTGAGCAGACAGTTTAAAGGTTTTCTTTCCACCATGTGTTTCACCAATCACAGAATCCTCACTGTGCGCAAATTACCACTTAGTGTGTCATCAGGGCTGAGTCACTACAATCCCTGTATTACATCATTACCAATTAGGGGTTTGATTCCTGAGTTACTCGACCCTCTGAAATCAAGTAGAATCTATAAGGTCACGACAAGTGTCCACTTACAGGAATTCCTTGTAGCTGTGGTTTCTCTAAAAGGTTGTGCAGTTCGTTTCTGGAAGCTTCTACCTTCTCTCGGTCTGCTGCGTCCACCATGTAACTGCAAGAGGGAAAGAAACTACTTAAAGAGAGTTTGGTCAAAACTAAAATAGCTGATTTACTAAATCAAAAATGTAAATTCTTACAACATTTATTTGTACAGAATAGAGTGGTGCAGACACGACGTATTTGTATAGACCGTGAAGTTAGCATTACATGGGCTCCCACAAGTAAAAGCAATGATTTTGAAATATTGTGTAAAAACTAAGATCTGTGACGACATACATTCAAGATAGTTAACAGGTTTTTGTTCAGCAGGATAATCTTCATGTATTAACACCACTTTTATAATAGTCCAAGCTTGAATGCAACATGACTTTGCATTAACACCGCTAAGCTAATGGCGGCTAATTTGATGTAAAGGAGTCTCTTCGCGGTTTTTAAGACACATATAAGCTTCAGAAGTTACCCAGTGGGGTGTTTAGTAACATTTGTATGTCTAAAAAAAAAACTGAAATCTCCTTAGCTTGTGTTAACCACAGACCTTAGGCCAGGCATCAAACCAAAAACTCATTCAAAAACATTGAGACGAGGGAACCAGGAAGTGCAGAAATACTAATTTCTGGGTTTAGGACTCATCCCAGCACCACTCTATCATATGGGGAGAGACCAAGCCATGTACCATGTACAAAAAAGAATTGTTTCTCATTGGATGTACAATTTCAGTTCAGTTTTTCAGAATACCAGTAAGTTCAGGAAGCCAAACAGAATACGTGCGGTCCCAAAGGCCACCTGTGTACTTTGTAGTGTCCACAAACTTACACAATAGCATTGACTCCTCTACAGTAGCGCTCCCACATGCTTCTGAAGCGAGGCTGGCCCCCTATGTCCCATATCTGCGGGGGAAAACAACACACAGTCAGAGATACTGTCAGAAGACCAAGGACTCTGCAACATTTGTTTCATATATGAACCAGTCATAATGTTTCAGGGTCCAAAGCATAGAGCTCTACACTGTGTAACATAGGAATTCAGCTGGACATGTGTGCTCGTTGGCCTACCTTTATCGTCACATTGCCTTTAGTGACCTTCCGCATGTTGAAACCGACTGTGGGAATCATGTCTTCGCTGAACTGCCCTGACTGCAGAAAGAAAATGAAAGAGAAAGTTCAGGTTAGTGAATACTGCAACTCGCAACTGAAATGCTTCGTGTTGAAATTGTATTACAATAATTAATGTCCACCAAATGAGTCTCTTTTCAGTCTTAGTGCTTTTTAATGTCAACCATCTCTGCATCAACAAATAAAAACACATGCCAGTATGCTTTAAGCTTAAGAGAGTCACATGAAAAGCCTAGCGAATCCTTTAACAGGAAATTATTTGATTACACGGGTCATTTTTAGCTGCTTGATATTTCAACACTTGGTCCTGAACTCCATGAGTCATGATAAGATGATGGCATTTTGATCAGCATACAAGCTTCCTGTAACCGGCCAGTGCTTTGTTAAATGCCATAAACTAGCATTATCCTGAAACCCAACTCTAAGTCAGATACATATAGAAATTCAAATATCCCAGATGACTTCTATAACCTTGTTTGCATGGCTGATATCGAGTCTGGGCCTAATCCAACAGTCTTAAAAGTAAAGTAGAAGGCAGCTTTGTTTAAAGCTGATCTCAGATCACCTGACATGACCACAAAAGGACCCGGAACAAGTTTGTATTCTTGAGAGGAATCCAGGAAAAGGGAGCCTATTACAGCACTGAGGCCTACAACATGACTTTCCAATAATACAGTGTGCTCTATCACCAAGAAACAGACAAGCAACACAACCTTTACCCCAAAACCACCCATGGCTAAACAAGTAGTACAGTATCAACAAGTTTCACAGTGCCAGCTATGACATGTGCTAGTTGGTGGACTCAACAACAGAGGCATATTTTAAAAGGGAGGAGGTATAAACAGGTTCTTTAGGCTTAGCATTCAATAGCATATTCCACACACATCTAGCTATTTACTCCGCTACATGTATTTAATTCCTTTATTTACTTTGCAGATTCCCATTAATAAATGTGAAATATGATGCATTCAAGTGTTCTCACAGCTGGTAAAGGTGCAGCTAGTTTGAATGACTTTGTATACTGCAGGGTAGCTTGTGAATTTACTCCAGATGGAACTAAAGTCTGATTTAAGGGTTGATTATATTTCACATTATTAATCCAAATCTGAAAAGTAACTAAAGATATTAAATAAATGCAGTGGAGTAAAAAAGTACACAATTTACCTCTGAATTTTAGTGGGGTACAAGTAGCAAAACATTGAAATACTCAAGTACATTACAAGTACCTCAACATTTTACCCAAGTTCAGTACTTGAGTAAAAATTGACTTAGTTACTTTTCACCACAGCTAGCCATTTACCTAAATCTATAATGATATAGATAGCTTGCCACATGCAGACCTCATCCACTTTAATTAACCCTACCTAACATAAGATTACTAGACCAGTCTGTTTCCATGTTAACTGGTTGACTGTTGTCATATCACTGATGTTGACACACCGGCGGCTATTACAGAGCACCTCGATCACATGACCGCTTCATACTTGTATGCGCAGTCATACCAACAACTCCGTCAATCTAACCAAAACAACTATTAAGCCAAAACATAACCATATGATAATTATATGTTAAAGACACAAACACTACTTAGTAATGCAGTCATGCACTTTTTGAACATTTTAACACATTTAAAGACAACTTCTCCCAGGTAAGGTGCTAGTCTGGGCCCACACCGACAGTCTTACCGCTATCACGTTGACGAAGGTAGTTTTCCCGGAGTACTGAAGTCCCACGAGCGTGAGCTCCATTTCCTCTTTCCAGAAGATCGCGCGGAACCAGTCCAGGAGCCTGTTTATCATAGCCAGCATGTTGGTTTCTCACGGTATTAGTCGCAGTGACCGTCTGGATGTGAAATTGGCTAGCAGTGCACACAGGAAGTAGCTGCTGCTGCTTTGTCATGTCATGTGATCCAAGTGTTGCTGAGGAGTGCACGGAGCTCACGGGAGCGCGCAATGAAAGCGGAACTATTTTGTAGACAAACCAGACAAAACCAGTGTTGGAAGAAGTACTCGGATAATACAAGTAGAAATACTACAGTATAAAATGAATCTGTTGCAAATAAAAGTCATGCATTCAACATTTTACAGTGAAAGTACAAAAGTATTAGCATAATAACATACTTAGTCCCAAAAGTAAAAGCCCATTTGAGATTCTGGTATTTTTAATTACCTGATTATTACTATTGAAGCACTGATGTCGTTAACACCGCTGGTAAAAGTAGTGCTGGATTTTTGAAACCTATAATTAGTTTATTTATATTTTTGCATTAGCTAGTAATCTAAATCTGTAAAGTAGCTAGTCACCAATGTTATCGAACAAATGTAGAGTAAACATTACAATATTCCAAAATGCAGTTGAGTAAATGCATAAATTACCGTAAATGGAAATATTTAAGTACTCCCAAATTGAAACTAAAGTACATTACTTGAGTAAATGTACTTCAGTAAATTACACACTGACAATAACTTGACCTTTGTGAGGACAAGTGTGTGTTTTTAGACAGTCACTGACCTTCTCTGTTGGATAATTCAGGATTCTCCTCACATCTTCAAGTTCCTCATTTAATATCAGCAAACATTCAACTTAAAACAGACTCACGTTTCAACACTGATGTGTCTCCATCTCTAAAGACAAACGGCAACCACATATATAGGCAACATAGAACAGGTGATCAGTTTTTATTGGATAAATGGTTGAGCAGGATTTTAAATCTATTGGATAATGGATCCAAAGGTAGGAGCTGCCAATGTCAAGTGCCATCCAATCAGAGCTGGAGAAAGTATTGAGATTATTTATCTTCGTAACATTTCTAATACCCTACTCTAAGCACGCTTACGGATAATGGTCCTGCATTAAAGCTTGTTGGCTAATGTATGCCTTTGTATAATCCGGGAAATGTATTTGTTTTGTAAAAAAACTGTGAGAATTGTCTGGAGTTCAAGGAGGCATCTTTACAATGCTTGTGTGTCCAATATAACAAAACAATAGTTAAGAAAACAATTGATGAGTTAATTGAAAGAAAAGAAAGGTCAGTTGCTTCTTCTATATTTCCTCCAAATATGACAAGAATATTATCAATGTATCTTTTCAACAACTCAAACTCAATAAGGGACAACATAATGCACCTGTTGATCATCCTCTTTTGTTTAACCACTGTCATTTTTATCCTGAGCCAAACACTACACAAAAGTCTAACCGATAAGCCTATAAGAGGCCCCAATATACTTTTTGGGGTTTTCCCTTTCCTGTAGTGTGTTATGTTTTTATGCATGTAAATGGTCTGCAAAGGCTGAAATCCCAAAGTTCCCTCAACACACAAATCGGTGTATGATCTGAACGATTTAAACAAAGAGACAAATGATGGACCAAGAAAAACTCACACAAGGCTAGAGACGTGGTTTATTTGAAAGGCACAAATCAAAAGAGGCACAGTTATCATGGAACCGGAAAGCACCATGGTCCAGGCACAAGTGCTTTTCCATCGTTGTTTATTTAACTCGTGCTAAAGTGTCACTGTGGCTATCTTCAAGTGATCACAATCACTAAAGTGTTCTTAAACTTTACATATAAATCGCAGCGACATATATATAGATATGAGGTTCTTTCACATTTGTTATTTTATTAAGCAGCGTAAAAAAATTAAAAGTGGTTAAAAAAGATTTTAGAATCATCACATGATCATTCTTTTGATTTAATCTGCATATAACCATGATGTGGAGTTTAGACAGCGAGGCTCACAGTCAGGTGGGGGGGCAGCCCTTGAAAGAGAGTGAGAAAGAGTAATTATGAGTGACATATCACCCGTGCATTGCTTATTATTATTATTATTATATATTATACAAACAATATATGCATTTAATATGTAATTACCTGTGGTCTGACGAGTGTATTGTACTTCTCGGGGGCTGCTGCACTCATTATAGTCGTGTAGACTGTAATTCTGGGGGTAAAATCAAACAGTGCATGAATTATAAAAACAAACTCTGTAAAAGATAATTCCAAAATGAACAATAAATAATAATGTATGTAATCAAACTAAGGGTTGCACGATATGAGGAAGATCTGCAGAAAACTGTTTAATAATAAAGAGAGATAACAATATTACTGTTCATAAATTAACTTTTTTTAAAGTGCTTAAACATTGAATATATTTCTAAAAAATTGTAAAAAAGTTTTTTCACTTAAAAATAGTCGACGACACAATCAAACACAATGCAAGAAAATATAAAAACAAGCTGTGTGAACGATTCTTTAAAAATAAAACTATAAATAATACCATATGTAATGAAAAATGTGTAATTCCTATTCATGAAAAGCGAAAACATTACTTTCCGTAAGAGAAAAGTGTTCGCCATTCTGCGTTTACCCTGCTTAAAAATGCTGCTAAATAACAGCAAAAAGTAAAAAATAATCACAATAATGACGATAACAATTTGAACAAATCGAATCTTTATCTACCAATGAAAAAAAAGGATAATCGTTACATAATAAAGTACCTTTTTTTGTGATACTGATCTTTTAACTGTTGCAAACAAATTATGGATTGCAATACGGTACTGTAAATAGTGCAATTTAGCCTTTTCATTTAAATGTAACTATTGCTGTTCCATATGCTACTTCCTATTTGCTGAAGCATGTCAAAAAAAGGCCTATTGACGTTATTGCTGAGATGGGCTGAAGGGGGCTGGTATGCACACAGCTGGCCATCTCAGCAGCAGTCATGTGATTCCTTGAGACAGTGGCCGTTTCTCAATCTCGAGGAAACTGGCTTCCAAGCCAATATTTCAAGGATGCTACGTCATCGAGTGCCGCCGAAGGACTGTTCCAATCTCAAGCATACTTGGAATTCCACCGAGTCATTGAGTGCCGCCGAAGGACTGTTCCAATCCAATTCCTGCACGTGGGTAGACTTCGCGTCCTTAAAATCCCCACAATGCTTTGCGCACGGATTAATTTCCCCAAATCTGTGGCGGAAAATTGAAGGCGGGGCCTCTCATATGACGCACACCTGCTCGCCTGTTCCACTCTTAGTTTTCCGAATGCCAGGAAGAATTCTTGCGTCGCTTCTGAAGCAAGTGACTCGGAAGACATGTGCTACCAAGCAAGCATCCTCGCGATTGAGAAACGGCTAGAGAGAAGGAACAGGATCTCCTTACCCATTACACACAGGATACATCGACAGCACCTGGAGGACAAGACTCTGTTAGAAATCCATACATTGGGTTCAATCTGTGAGTATCACGCGTACTTCAGCCTCAAATATTGATTTATTTGTCCATGCTTGCCTGATAAAGTGTCTCCATGTTGATGTGATCTTGGCCAGTAGCATTTAGTGCTTTCTTGGCTGCGTCCCTACAAAAATGACAACAGCAGATTAGATACGGTTACAGCAACAATATTGTGAATCATGCGAGATGACTCACCTCCGAGGATCCCTGGCTGGAGGAGGAAGCCAGTGGTCAAAGTTCGTCTCCACTCTGTACCATCTGAAAACGGAACAAGACATTTTATTATTCAGGCACACACCACATACACACCACAACTTCCTTTAGTGAAGTTATCAATTCATTGGCTTTAATCCAAAACGACATACAGTAGGTGCAGTACACCATAAAGATACGAACTTAGAAAAATGCAGATGTGTTTGCTTAAAATAAGCAAAACAATCGTAAGTGCTGGTGCATTAGTTTCGAACGGGCTAAACTCGTGAAATGCTAATTATTAGTTTTTATTATTTAATGGCTAAGGTACAGGTGATACAGGTGGTTTTTCTGGCAAAAATATATTTATCTTTTCTGATGTCCTGATATGGATAGTGAGCTTGTTTCACCATTTTGGAGCCAGGATGGCCTCTATACGAATGCACTGTTTGACATTCAGTGTCCTTTATCAACTCCTGATTGGTTTCAAGTGTTTGAGTAAAGGAGGGACATTAGGATGGACCTTAATGTAGCAGACTCTCCTCAGATCCTTTATTTTGCCTACCCTCCATTGATGGGAGTCAGCGGCCAGATATCAGCGGGGCCGGATCGGTCCCTGGTGATGACGGCCCCCTCTCCAGGTCGCACCCCTCCCACGATGTAGTACACCCCGGTGATGATGGGAATCTTGGCGAGACGCATCACAGCATCCTGAAAGTCCTCTGCTTCCTCCAGCGTCTGTAGGCGACACAGCCGCTCAGTTTCACTTCCTCGTACGGTAAACTTCCTCTTCACGCTGACTTTCATACACACTCACCTCGCGTACCAGCCAGCTGACCGGAGTGCGCCGAAAGAGGAAAGCAGAAACCACATTCTTCCACCAGTTCCACCAGTGGTCACTGCCTGGTGAGCACAAACACACAGACATGAACACACAGAGACAATAAAGTCTGAATGTTGCACTATTTCTGGACACAACTGCTAAAATTAAGTGTGGTCTGAATTGCTGCAATGATCCATCAACATTTATAAAATAATCAGTAATAACTATTGTAATGATCAATGAAGTTATTTTTCATGCATCAAAACTATGCCAATTTCCTGCTTTTTCTGTTATATATCATAATAAACTTAATATTCCTGGGTTTTGGACAACAAGAAAAAACATCTGCATATATCACCTTGGACGTAAAAAAAACTTGGATGGAATTGTTTTCTCTATTTTCTGATATTTGATAGACTAAAGAATTAGCCAAAATCAATTCATCTAAGAAATCTGATAGGAAGATTAAATTGAAAGTAAAATAATCGTTGGTTGGAGCCCTAATGGTGTTACCTCGTTGGTCACCAGAGACGGTAAACTTGTTAGGACTCTGTCCCGTCCACAGGCCAACGTAGCCAGCAAATGAAGTTCCACGGTACGCCACCTGTTTGATTGCGAATAAAACGACATATCAGTATCCATCGCCACATCGTTAAGCAAGGACTTTTATTCAGTTTGAATGTATTTCCTGATGAATGATTCTCAGCCATTTCTGAGGTATAGCTTGAGGAGGCACTAGAGTTCTTAAATGCTAGGAAGACATACTGTACCTTTCCGTTCTTGAGGAAAATGACGTCCATAGTGAGGTTCCTCAGAACATCATGTGGATAGTCAAGGTTCCTGCCGTGGTACACAGTCCCATTTGTGTCCTGAGCCACGATGCTAGTGCAAAATCTAAAGAAATGCATAAAGCTTGTTGAGAAATTACCTGACGGCAGACATTGTCTATAATAAATGTGTCATTATGAATTGAAGTCATACATACGCAGATATTTCATAGGCGAAGTTGAGAATGATGACGTCTGAGATGCTGCCCCCCATGTGAGCGGCCATGCCTCTGATCTCCCCCGCGTAAGGCTGAGGAACGTACTTCTCCAGGGCCATCACGATCGGGGTGACTGCCTCATGCACCCATTTAGGAACCGTAGTGCTGCAACAAAAAACAAGAAAGCCTGTCTGTGTTAGCACTGAGACTGGAAATACACAATAACACAGTAACCATTAACTCAGAGGGTAGTTTATTGCTGATATCAAGTATTTATATTAAGTAACTTCCTCTTTATTGCGTACTGTCAGTTAATCAAATGTAGGACAAGATAGATAGATAGATACTAAA